AACCAAAAAACCATAAATAACTATATTTATACCATAGAATTCCACTATAATTTATCAAGCTTAGTAACTAAGCTCTATTTGGGTCTAAAAAAATATGAAATTTTGAGCAGACTAAAGACACAACCTACTTCCTTGAAATCTTGCTTTGAAAGAATGTGACAGCACACTAGGGGGCATTCTGAGCTGTCAATTGGTTATTCACATATCATTTATTGAAGTAAGTGTATATAAGGGACTATTTCCAAAAGTGGAAAGAGGTGAGTGGGACCACTGTGTTTGATTCAGTACATGAGTAATATCTCAGCAAATAGAAAAGATACAAGGTTCTTATTTTATACTATAGCTTATCAATATCAGTAATTTGAGTTCCTAATTTATACAAAACTATAGACTTAGTATTCTGACATCACAAACATCTAATATGAACCAGTACTGCATTCAACATACCACATGACACACAGAAATTGATGTTTAACTGTATATTTTTTTAATATTTACTTATAAATTAAGAAATTAAATAATGTATAATACTAAAATTTGAATTCTACTCTACAGTTTGATACCAAAGTTATTGACATAAATTCATAAAATAGTAGTTCAATAAAATTTTGAATGCGAGTCAACAAATGAAATGACATGGTTAGGTCATATATACAGTATTTTACTTACAGAAACTTACTTTTATTTTTAATTCAAAAAAATAATCCATACAACATGTGTTAAATCAATGCACCCAGGCCTGACAGAGTTAAATTAAAAAGGACTTGATCTCAATGTGATAATAGTGAGGATGTATCTATATTCTGTTCATCAAACAATGACAATAATATAAAATTACATACTCTGTTGTGCCTCACTTTCTACAACTTTTTCCTTCTCGTCAACAGGCAATGCACTTAAACTAAACTGTTTCTTCTCCTTGCCCACTGGGAACTTAGCCTGCTTCAAGCCCAATGCAACAGCTGCTCTGCGACAGACATGTTTGATTCTTGGTCCTTTCCTTGCTATAACTTCTCGAGATTTCAAAGTATGCTCTGTAAGATAAAAACAACAAAACAGAATTCTCATCTAAGAAATCTAAAAAAATTGTATGAAAAAAAACTTTGGTGATGATAATTTTTATACTTATTTCAATATTCTATATTTGGCTTTTAAGAAAAATTTTGTCCTCAAAAAGAAACAACTGTTAAACAGCACAAATTAAATTTTTTTCTGGAAATCCACATCAATCATAAATCTGGTAATTTTTGACACTTTAGTTATGTATAAAAAGATCAAATAATATTAAGTTACAGCCGAGAAAAGACCATCAATAAACAGCTTTCCTTTTCCATTAGTCTTTTCTTGCTCACAAAAATACATATAAAAAATGCTGACTTAAATTCAAATTCAGCTGGATAAAAATATATACTAACCTTGAAGAAGTTCATTGGTTCAATATATAAATGATGCTAAACATGAGGGTTTCTTTAGTTTTATAAGGAAAACATTAAAATAAATATGCTATTTCATAATGAGACAAAAGATCTCTCACACCACTTTTGCAGAAATTTATCATCAGGTTCCTGCCCAAGTGTTACATATAACTTACTGAAAATACACAAAAATGGTTTACCCCCTCAGACCTATTCCATCTACTCTTGGTTCCCACATCTCCAAACTTGTTAAATGTCTTGTACCTGCATTACGCTCACTAACTGGGAACAGATTTACTGTTAAAGATTTTTTTTCCATTGCTCAAGAGATATCTAAATTTCCTAATGCAAACCAATTTGTTATGGCCAGCTTTGATATTCAGTCCTTATTCACTAACATCCCACTTGAGGAAACAATTAAAATAATTATTAAACAGTTATTCCCAACTAAAAATACCCAGCACTCCATCTTTAAACAGCTTCTTAAACTGATGCTCAAGGATGATCACTTCACTTTTAATGGTCATCTTTATGACCAAATAGACAAAGCAGCAATGGGACCACCTCTAGGTCTGACCTTTGCAAATATTTTTTCTGTTATTACAAGCATCAACAGCTGAATAATTGTCCCCTTTATTACAAACCAGTATTATATAGAAGATACACTGATGATACTTTCCTATTGTTTCACAACACTGATCATGTCAAGAAGTTTTTAAAATACCTAAACTCGCAACATCCATTTACCAACTTTACATGTGAAATGGAATAAAACAATAACTTAACATTTTTAGATGTTCAAATACACAATCTATTTACTGTATGAAAACATTTATTGGCTTGTACACTTGTTTTGACAGTTTCACACTAGACTCCTTCAACCATAACCTTGTTATAAATTATCTAAACAGTGTTCTGGCTACTTCTGTCTTCACTCTCAAATTTCAAAAACTTGTATCACAGATTAATGGTTATCCTTTTCATTTTTTACATTCTTTCACATGAAAATTTTTAATAACTAAAATAGAACCTACCAAAAAGCCACACAAAATATTCACTAGTTATTATCACTCCTTTCATTTTAAACTCAAATCCCAAATTCAAAAAATAATCAAAACATATTACGCACAAATTAAGCTATGTTTAGTATTTATGTCAACATTTAGAATTAAAAGTATGTTTAAAACCAGAGATGATCTACTCATTCCTATGCACTTGTGGGTCGTATATAAATACTCTTGTGGCTACCTATACTGGTAAAACTACATGTCACCTACAAATACATGCACATAAGCTCATGAAAATTTCAGCTAGAAGCAGATATAAGCTAACTAATCCACTTGAGTTTTGTACCAGATTGCACAGTGAGAATAACAATCACCCCATACTTCTAAAAAAGTTTAAGATTCTCAACTCAGGAACCACAGATTACAAAATTTTTCATAAAGAAAGCCTCTCCATTTTCAGTGAACCCTCAACACTAAATAATAACATCAACTTCTTCCTGTTGTCACTAATTTAATCAATTCCAGATCCTCAGTGTTTTTATTTGATAATTATCATTACACTTATATTTAAGCCTTTCTTTATAATGTTTTCTCTTAACAATGTTATTTATTAAACATGTGTATGCTGCACGTTTTATCATACATTACATTATATTGTTACGTTTCGTTCCATCGTATTTGAAAACAGCAAGCGAGTGATTACTCGCCTAAAAATAATATGGTGAGTAATTTTAACCATCCAATGAAAATTGTTTTTTTTTGGGTCCATGCATCATAATGTTGTGAATAAAATGAACAGTAAACTGAAAAAAATCTTTATTTATTTAACTTGTTTTAAAAAATCTATGCATACATGTTATCTTCCTCAAAGTTACACAGTATTGAGTAATTCCTCAAACACCCTTAAAATGCACCCTTGATTATCAACTTTTGATAAAAACAGGCCTAACTGAATTTATGTTTCTTTTATAAGTGAATAACAATATTGGCAGATAATCAATGATGAGAGTGACAGGTTACTCAACCACCAAAAGCAGCACATTCATAAAATTTAGGGAGAGGCTACACATTTGCCCTACTTAATATAAGCTAAGAAATTATCATGCCCCTTTTTTATTATAGCACCCAAACCTGAAATACTGTCTTATAAAACACTGTTTGATATTAAATTAACCAGAGTTTATCCACAGTCATTCTGAGCATCGGAAAAAGTAGCTAAAAAGCCAACCCATGATGTAAATCTGGTCAATTCCACCACTATTCATATTCATTCACAAATATCCATCCGTTTTCGAAGAGCTTTAACACGGCTTAAACCTTACGTTGAACACGAGCATAATTTATGATACAATATCCACGTATCAGCGATACAGTATTGATTCATAAAAATATTTACCTTCACAACCAACGTAGTTCCACATTCTTTTTTTTTGTCTCATAGCCGATGGTAACTGGTAATTCTCACTTTAAAACGTGGACAAGCGTACACTCGTAACGGTCATGATCGTTTTACATGAAAGGCAATTCAGAAAAATGGACTGTAGTTCTCGATTTGGTTTAATGTGTGCTCAACAACAATGCCCATGTAATGGATTGCCTAAGCTTTATCAGTCGCAATATGAAAATACCACTCATTACTTGCTCTAAGTAAGTAAAGTTGAGTGCCTGATTTTAAAAAGGTTTTTACACAATGATAATGACAAATTTACGTGAGCAATTAACAATGCACCTAAAGCAAAACTTACTTGCGTTATTGTGCACAAGTGACATCGCACACCTCAAATCTGAAGGACTATCATTTAACTTTGTTTTTCCTAAACTTCCTATTGAATACAAAAGCTTCCTCAATAGTTAATGTTGTTTTTGGAGTTAGAATATTGTGAACTAACTTTTTGAGGTTTTAACACTAATGATGGATTTTGAAGAAATTTCAAAACGTCCATCATTAAAGATGCTTTTTGTTATTAATATTTATTATGAAACATAAGACTATTAAAAGAAATTTACCAGTTTTTTTCGTTTTTTTCTCATTTGTTGGAAATTTTGCTTGCTTCAAACCTAATGCAACTGCTGCTCTTCGACAAACATGTTTGGTTCTTGGACCTTTTCTCACTATAACTTCTCGTTCTGTATTTAAAAAAAAAAGAGTAATCTTCATGTAAAATACTTCAAATGCTTCTTTTGAAATACATATAATACATAAAAAATTTTCATAACCTATAGATTACTACAATTATTACAATTTTAAAATTTCAGAGTAACTTAAATCTACCTAAACACTTTGAGCAAAATATTCAATGAAACTTAAACATTAACTTTCTACTTCAGTTAACTTGATCCATTTTGAATTCTGCCTCACAGACTTTGATTACTGACAAACTCAAACATACAACTTAATTAAAACTAAACCATCATTTTTAAAATTAAATGCATACTAGTACGATATAAAATGAAATGAAGTACACATTCTAAACTATAGTCTTTGTCAAAAAATTTTATTTGGCTATAATACCTCTTGACATGAATGAAACAAATTTATTTCAAACTTGCCTGATATTGGTCCAGGCAATAAAGGAACGTTGCTAGGCTCATTTCAGCAATGATAACTGTGATTTCTCACAGTTTCCCAAATCTTACAAAGTTTAAAGCAAGTTTAATATTGGTTTAGAATGCTGAAAAAAGTTAGTCATATCCTCATCTTTAAATAAAAATTTAACTAAGGTAACATGTAAAATAAAAAAGCAAAAACAACATTTGAAAATACACAATAAAACTTTATTTGGCCAATAGCCAACATCAGAAATTATTAAACATGTTTTGATAGCTTTTCGTTATCATCATCAGGAGTGACACATACCAGGCAGATGGAGCTATATAAGCAATGGGATTAATTCGTTATAAGCTTTAAGAGATGATGCAAATAATATCTTATTCAGAAAATTGATATTTTACGCCATAACTATATAATAATACCTATAAAATCACCATAAAATTCAATAGGATCTCTAATAACAAATTCAGTAGGTTGATATAAATTTTAGATTCATGCCAGCTTATCAAAGGAATTGTTTTGATAGTATGTTCAAGAAGTGAAGAACTGTGTCTTTTTATTATGTACACAACCTTCAAGTTTATTAAGACAATATTTTAAGTTATATTTAGTACGACCTATATATTTATTATTAAATTTGCATCAGGTTTCATATATACCATTTTTATCTAAAACATCTATTTCATATCATTTGAATTTTATTGGTCTAAAGACAGGAATGAAGTCTTGATTTCTGAACACACTGGCTAGTTGACCAGTTACATACTTTGTATATATATGGTAATGATATAATGTTTTTAATTCATTTGCTATCTAATTAAATATACTGCAATATGAAACATGAAGTATGTTTTTTTCTCTACTGTGTTCAATGATATCAACCTTAGAATCTCTATTCTTAGCAATACTCATTATGTAATTAAGTTTGTTATTTTTAAATACATTTTTTTAGAACAAATTTTAAAAGCTCTGTTTATATGTAAGTATAACAAGCTGCAAGTTTTTTGTCACTCCTGATGATGGTAACAAAGAGCTGCCAAAACATGTAATTTTTAATTTCAGCTACTGGCCAAATAAAGTAAAATTTTACTGTCCATTTTAAGATGATTTATTTTTTACTTTACTCATCTGTAGGTATTTGTTTGAACTAGATTTAGGTGTAAAGTCTTGCTTAAGTTTAAAAATCTTTTGTGAAAGGTACATAGTTTGAACTGTTATGATATTTTAAAAGCAATTCTCTTGCCCCAGACAAAGCAATTTCCTTGTTGAGTCTGTAAAATAACACAAAACATATGGTTCTAAATGTCCTTGACCAAATGCTTTATATTCACCATCTTACCCAAAGTTCTCCACTTTTTCCAAATTCACGTGACTTACTTTGTAAGCTCCAGGGGAAACTATATAAGCCCTGCTTTTCCAACAATAAATCAAATTTGTTTGTTTTCAGTTGTGTTTGTTTTAGCGTAAAGTCACATTGGACTATCTGTTGCGTCCACCACAGGGAAACAAACCCCAGACATTAGGGTTGTAAGTCCATAAACTTAGCACTGATCCACCAAGATTCATTGCAGTTGTGATAACATAATATATTCCTCCCAATTGTGGAAAGGTGGATGAGATTGTATTTCAGAAATAAGTACCTGTTTAAAATTCATTTTAATCCTAAAAATGTAAAACTTGTATCAGGTATACTTACCTCTGAAATATTGTGAGCCAGAATACCCACACTCAGATAGAGGAGGGAACGAAAGTGTGCTATAATAAGAGACAAGCAGATCATCAGATGCTGAGCTTTAGAACAGGAGAGGTAACATATATAGACCCTAACAGCCTTGAACATTGTTATCAAGTAGAGCTTCAGCAGATTCCAGAACCAGAGTGATAGGCATTATACTGGATTCATCTGTAAAACTGAGTGAAGAGGACCAGCCTCTAAATAGACTGGAACAAAAAATGTGGATACTCAGAAGATAAAATATTCTTATCAGATTATCTGTTCACCCTTAAATGCCCTTTATTTGATAACAGAATGAGGAAGTGAGATAATGAATATACCTGGGTTGTCATGTATATTCTAAAGTGTGGTCCCTGGTAGAGGCTAGACAGATAGCAAGAATAGAAAGCCTTGTCATGTAGTTGTTAATGGAAAATTCTCAGTACAAAAAAATCAGTAATTAAGTAAAGATTGGATATAGTTCTGTCACTAAAACCTCCATCACTAAAAACTGAAAAAAGAAAATTGTAGCAAAACAAAGGTACTGCCTTGATTGTTGATATGTACCACCACTGTGGAATTATCTGTGTGTAACAAACACAGTATGATGATGTTAAAGGGTTATTAGAAAGCTCTAGAAAAGCAAGAAAAATAAGTTGATGTTAGATGCTGTCTGCTGTGGAGTTCATGTACCAGAAAGATGCTGATCCCTTAATACAACATCCCAACTCATGACAGACCACCTGTGAAAAGATGAAGATCAATAGGAGGAGGAAGAAAAGGGGGAGCATATATAATGTATGTCAGTGTAATCCAAGCGAATAACTGTGTGATGTCCTCAAAGCAAACACAATGTCTTTGACAGTGGGTGTAGACGACAGAAGTTTGCACACACAAAACTCCAGGGTTTGAAGTGCCATAGGAGATAATTGAAGAATGTTAATCCAAGACCCCCCAAATGGACCAAATAGTGATATGGTACTAACTGAGATTTGGCTGTGCGAACGATCTATCCAAGAGATATAGCCAACACATGTTATAGACTGAGTGGACGACAGAGCAAAACAAGCCAACTATTCATATACAAGTGTAAGTCTATTTTAAGTTAACAGATATAACCTGATAAAACTTGGGCTAGTCAACAACAACAACAAAAAAAAAACACAAAGAGCCAAAGCCAGGTCAAACAGAACAACAGTAAACTGATAAACCACCTCTCAATGGCAAAAAAATAGAAATATGAATGATGAAATGGGATATGAATATAAACATCCTGGATATCTGCCTTTGTCATTCAATGTTCATATCATAAAACTTACGTAACATTCTTATATTTTCCATTATTAAATGAAGGATCTCCAAGGAATAACTGAAATGAGAAATATCTATCACGGATCACCAAACTCCCAATCACTTCATAACTATAAAAAGGGCAAGAATAAAAACCTGGCATATGGTAAACAGCTTTGACAAAATCACACAGTGGTGCAACAAATGGAAGATAATACTCAATCCCACTAAAACCCAAGCAATTATACTTTTCTGTAGATTAAACAAAAGACTAAAGCGTGTCAAGTTAGTTAAACTAAGCCTCTACAATACCCCTATCTCATTCTCTAAATCTGCAAAATTCCTAGGAATAACCATCAACCCTAAACTAACAAGGCACACACATTTCAAGGAATATCAGTAAGAAAATTAAAACCAGAACAGCTTACCTCCACAAAATAAGTCACCACGCCCACGGATGCAGACCACAGATAATAATGTACATATACAAGACATTTATCACACCTTTAATGGACTATGGCTCAATGGTAACTTGTAACATGAATAACAACCAACGTTTGATACTCTGAAAACTACAAAGCAGTGTAATACGTCTTGCCCACCACCTCCCTCACTACACACCAGTATACTATGTAGAAAGACACACCTCACTACATACAGTACAAGAACACATTTCTAAACTTGCTATCAAATATTACAAAAAAGCCACCTACCGGAACTCACCCACAGCCGAATTTCATAAAACTGCCGCTACCCCCAAACCATGGTGCAAATATCTATCCCCATACAACATGATACACACCACCATAATCTGTAAAACTATTAAGAGTATACTATATTCTATGTATAACCATTTAAATTTTCAGTCTCTTTTCAGATCTTCATCCCTTCGATAGCTCTTCACTCGGGCACTAGCCGGGCCTTTCTTTCAGTCCCAACTAGTGAAAGTGGGTTTTCTCGGGTACTCCCGTTTCCTCCCACACCAAACTCTAAGGCATTGGATCTATATATCTCAGCCATGGCACCACGATCCACTGATTCCTGCCAGGCCCTGTAAAGGCCCGTTTGCTTCAGTTTGTTTCGATAAATTTTCAACAATTGCTGTCGACTTGCTCCTTCTACAAGATCAACCAGCCTCTGCTATGCCTTGGTCTTGCCTACACTTCCGCCCACTTGCCTCACCATCATCTCTGTGTGTGTGTGTGTGTGTGTGTGTGTATATATATTTTATTTATTTATTTATTTATTTGCCCATATGGCTCAATTAAAACGATGACCTCTCATTGAACTTCTAGCCTCTAGC